ATGGTCCTCTTGACACCCTCACCACTACTAAGAGGAAGAGATCAGAAAATAGTGCTTCTGCATCTCGTGACACTACCACAGAACCGCCTCCGAGCCCTATCTACGGTCCTCCCCGCTACCACTTTGACCAGTATTCAGGAGCTCTCCCTCACGGCCCCATCCGGGACGCTCATGATTACATCAACAAGATCCAAAGGTGGAACAAGTCTCAAGACAGAGCTTATTACAAGCTTAAGGCCAAATACAAAGAGCTCAAGAAGATAGTGAAAAGACAAGCTGCAGTATCTGCTCAGTTTATGAAGAAGGTTGCTGATCTGTTAGTCAAAGGAAGTGTAGCAGGCTGCAAATCTAAAGACTTTGTCTTAGGAGAAACACAGCTCCACAACCCCGTCATCTTGACCTGAAGAAAGATCCATACCTAGAGCTTAGTCGTCCTCTCTCTGCAAAGCAGTATAACCGCATGAAGTGTAACCCTTACATTCCTCCCTCCTAATCAGACAAGGAGTCTCCTTCCCTTACCACAACCGATGAGGAAGACATGTGTGATGAAGCATACAGCATGCATGTTGTTGGGGAGGAGGAAGGTGACAGAAATGAAGGAGTTGGAGAAGAATATGGAGAGAGCGATGAGAATATAGAAGAAGGAAGCGATGGAGGAGATGTACCGGACGACATCATCGAAGTGAGTGATGCAGAAGACGATGATGATAGTGATGTCAACGACACAGGAAGCAAAGGCGAGGAGGACAGTAATGGTGGAAGCTCAGCTTCTGCCACTTTATAAACAGGAGGTACTCTTTCATCTCATCATTGTATATACCAGTCTTTAATTTTTATTTTATTTTCCGGTATCTCCTTCCTTCTAAGTCCCACAAGAGACTGTGTTATTGAAGTTTGGGGGAGGTACCAAGTTTCTAATGCATTTTCCCTTGTTTTGTTTCATTTAGAGTCTTGCATTGTAGATATCTATTTGCAAAGAAAATCCAAAAAAAAAATTTTTTTTTTAAAAAAAAGAAAAACAAAAAGAATCATGTATTTGCATCATTTGCATTTTCTTTTAGTTGAGTCTAGAGCATATAGGTTGCATTCATGTGCATTGGGAACAATGATTTTAAAGTACCTTGGAAAGAAACATGTCTAAGGCTCAAGGTAGCACCCTAGTTAAACATATCAAGTAGCTTAGAAATCTCTTGAAAACCTTGCACGCTTCGAGCCTTGAAAACTTTTCTTGAAAACTGGTTTGCTTGCTTGAGATTAACATTGTTCTTGTAACCAACTCCGAACTGAACTTGAAGTGAATGAACTTAATTATTTTGCAAATCGGCACTTGCATACTTAGTCATGGATTATACACATTTGGGTTATCTTTCTCCATTTAACCATTCTTTGTTAACCTAAATGGCACCTCCATACCCTTAAACCCTTACCTTTCCTTGAAGCCAACATTTATTTGCTTGACTGAGGCCTTTTTCTGAAAGCTAGTCATGTGCAAAATCTTGAGAGTATTAGGAGCGACAATGGTTTGGTCTTATCTTTTTCTAGCACTAGGACCTCATTTTAGCTAACACTTAGGATGGTATTTGGGTTTATAAGTTGGATTTTTATCTTGAAGGGGAAACTGTTTTTTTAGACCAAATATGTTTGGATATTGTCCCTTTAATCTAAATTATATTTTGTACCAATTTTGACTCTAATATCCTTTATTTAATTCCAAAATTATTAAAAAAATAGATTTAGTACATAATGATGAAACCCCTATATCTATATAGTGATATTTTTTTCCTGTTTTAAAATATGTAAATAATAATTTCATATATTATTCTACCGAAATTAAAATCCGTATACTACGGATTAGAATACAGAATCCACTTTTTTCACTATTTCTACGAACTGCAGAATATGTTTTCTACGGAGATAACACGAATCTAAAATAGTTTGGAATACACATTCCACTCTTATCATATATAGTTCTAATGAAAGTAGAAATTGAAATCTAAATTCTTACTTAAATCTAAAATTAGTAGAATTCGGAATCTACATTGTCACAACGTTATAATACATGTAGAAACTGATTTCATATCTCTTAACACAGTTCTACCTTTAGTAGAATCTGAATTCTACGGAGAAATATTATTAGATTCGAAAAGATAGCAAGAATATATTAGGAAATATTCTGTTTCCATATTTAAAATTCAATTTTTTTTAAAACAAAAAAAAATTCAAAGGCAAAAACGTTTTCTAAAAAGGAAAATCTTTGGAAAATTTTCTGACGGTTATTGTCACGTTCTTCTGAAGGGAGATGCGAATTTGATGTTGAGGGAAGACAAAAGGATCAAGCAGAGCTTGTTCTTTCTCTCTTCGTTTGAGAGAGGTGGAGAGGTTGCTCTGTAGTGCTGTATGTAACTACAGGACATTGAAGTTGAGTGTGCAGTGCAGTGTTTGGGACAGAGATTTGGCCTGCAGCAGAGTACAGTAGGAAAATGTACACAATCTGCCAGAGGTTGGTCACTTGCTTATGCAAATGGAGAAGCGATGTGGTTTGTTGAAACTCCATGTTTCCAGCTCTCTTGCTTTGTGTCATCAAATCTCTCTAAAAAGAACTTGTGGTGTTTTGTCTTCTTGTCTTGCAGGTAAGGTTGATGATTCTGGTGGGCTAACAGAGAAAGAGATAATCAGAGCTGAGAGAAATGCAGGTTTCATTAGCAGTAGATTAAGGGAGATTCAGGTGAGTTTCTATTGAAACCTTCTTTAGAAGTATTGTTTATGTTGTTACACCAAAGCGTAATGTGGCTTGTGAACTGTATGGGTAGATGCAAAACTATTTGAGGAAGAAAGAACAGAAAACTCAACAAGAGAAGGATCTTCGTGAAGGGCTCCAGTTTTCCAAGTAAATCCTTCACTGATCTTATGACTTAGCCTAAAGTTTTTGTGAGTATTGACTTGTCTCTCTAATTGATGTAGGAATGGTAAATATGAGGAAGCATTGGATAGGTTTGAGTCTGTGTTAGGCTCTAAACCAAGACCAGATGACGCATCAGTTGCAAGTTACAATGTTGCTTGTTGCTACTCGAAGCTTAATCAGGTAAAAGAGCTATTAATCTTTCTGATATTACCATTTTGACTTGAAGAGCTGATAAGAGTTGTGTTGATAGGTTCAACCTGGTCTCTCGGCTCTGGAAGAAGCATTGAAGTCAGGATATGTAGATTTCAAGGTAGTTTCAAATGAGTTATAATGTTCTGTTGAGTTAATAAGAGGTGGTGTTGCTCACTTAAACTGAATAGTTGTTCATTTTGCAGAGAATCTGATCCGATCCAGACCTGGAAAACATCAGGAACTCAGAGGATTTCGATCCACTCATGAAGCATTTTTATGCAACTTCCGTCAGTGAGAGTACCATTAGCGCCACCAAGTCCTTGTTTTGCTTTAACAAGAAATAGTTCATTAACCACCTAGACTTTATCTTTTGGTGTGATCTGTTTTCTTCTTGGCTATTTATACCTGTGAATTTGTCTTACTATTTTCTTGTTTGTAACTTTGTACTATTAGAAAATCATGATTTATTCATATGATTGGTTCAAAATTTCAGTACAAAGCACATTCTCTTGTTCAAAATCATTAAACTTCGCTCATCTAATACAAAGCTAAAAGAATCAATTTCCAGCAGAGTTATCTCCTCAGTATCCATTTCCTGAAACAAGAGAGAAGTAAACAGAATCAGTGAATTGAGACATGTTTTTTTTTGGAGGACCTTCACTGAAAAGATTCAAAGTATCTGAACCATTGGGTTGCCTGCAGGAACTGGCTCAGGCTCCTTGATCTCAACAACGACACAGTCTGACATCAAGAATGTCTTTGCAACCGAAGCTGCGTGTTCCAAGCAACATCAAGAATGTCTTTGCAACGGCCAAACCACCTCATGGTTTACGGCGACTGCGGTTTTTCGCGGTTTTGTGCTTAGCTCGGATGATTGCGTAATCGATGCGTGTTTCGTTCTTCCAAGATAACGATTTCCTAGTTAATCCGCGGTTTCCTTTGTTTCGAAACTTCTTTTATAAAACGGCTTCTCGAGTTTTATAAAACGATTTCTCAAGTTTTATAAAACGATTTCTCGAGTTTTATAAAACGATTTCTTGAGTTCTATAAAACGACTTCTCGAGTTTTATAAAACGATTACTCGAGTTTTATAAAACAATATCTCGAGTTTTATAAAATGTATTTTTTTATCTTTTTGCGGAAAGTGTTTGCTATTGATTCCGTCGTACCGATTTTGACCCCAACAACCGAGTACACCAGACCGAGAGAAGTTGTAACAACATAATCTGGCCATGCTTGATTCAGCGCAAGATGAACTGAAAGAACTTTCAATATTATAATCCAGTTTGAGTTGTCAAACAATAGATAAATCTTATGGAGATTGGAGGTGACCTTGGATTCATCACCGCATGTCATTGTAGAGCTGAGTATGAAGTAGAGTACTCATAATAGATTGACACACAAACTATTTCATCGACCGATAACCTTATCAGCCAACGACCGATGTACACGAAGCCACATCGATCGATATGGACCCCACTGCATGGAACTCTACCAGATCACTGCTATCCAAACTTTTCTTTTCAAGCCACCAAGATACAGGATGACTATTCTATAGGTAGTTGGGCAGACAGTGGTTTCCATGAGTGTTTTGATGTAGATATAGTAATCCTTCCAGACTCAAAGGATCTTAATGGGGAGTATGATGAGGATTATGAAGAGGAGCGTGCTATAGTATTTGGAATCTGTGGAGCTCAAGAAAAATCAGGAGAAGAACTCAAGACCCTGATAGGTGATGTCTATCATCCCTTGGACAAAAGCATTAATTGGCTGAATACATGCATGCAAGAGATGAGAGCAGAAACAGCTGATATGCAAGCACACATGCAGAGGAAGCCACAGCATCCACATGGCTCTATGCAACCAATACAGCATTGATCGACGCCAGGCACCCACCAACGAATATCTGCAGAAGATGAGATGTTGGCATGAATGGTAGATCACTGGGAAGAGGCATACCTAAACATGAAGATTAGTGAAGTCTACCATCCTCTCAACAACAATGTCAATTGGTTAAGCAGAAGATTGAGTTGATGCAGAAGATCTAGATATTCTCCGCGAGAAGGATAAGGGTCGACATAAGAAACCTGTATCGATCAAGATAGAATGAAATATTGTGAAGATGTGCATGATCGTTTTATTTCTCCAACAATGTGATACTTGGACACCATAGCTGCCCAAATGAGCACATTGCAACATGAAGTTGACAAAATTCAGAATCAACTCGACTTTCAACCAGAAAGTTCAACATTGATCGATAGGCACCTCACCAAATCGATCGACACGAAGAGACCAGCAGCGCAGAAGTTCTTTACCAGAGCAAAAGTTGATCAGGTCATAGACAGAGTTTACAAAGTTATGAGCACTCATGAGGACAGACTTGACAAGAGATGTAATGACATATATTCCCATTCGACAACAGCATCAGTGGATTACATTCAGAAACACAATGGCTGCAGAAGGAGGTAAAAGCAATTCAGAAACCGCTTGCATGTCAACACCAGTCACATCAATCGATACCGATTCCACAACTAACCGAGAGAAGTTGTTTCAAGATAAGCTGGTCATGCATGATTCAGAGCAAGATGAACTGAAAGAACTGTCAGTATATGCTTTCAATAAGATTGGGAGGCACAGCTTCAGCATTGAAAACCTTCAAGAGAAGCTACAAAACATCTCAGATGCAGTAGTCAAGATGGATGAGACATGGACCAGAAGTGATGAAGCCACAAGAAGTTTCATGGCCACTTGGTTCAGAATGAGCAGAGATGATGTGGATACTTGTTTCCCAACAAGTAGCTGTTTTTCCACACACTAGCTCAAATACATCCAAATCCAAGCTAAATGACTATAACAAAGCGCTGAGTGGGAGGCAACCAACTATTAGGTATTTATATTTGGTTTTCATTTTTATTAGTATTTATATTTGTCATTGTTTTGCATATTTCTTTAAAAAAAAGATCCAAATAGAAAGATTGCTACCATGTCGACCGACTAAGACACGTCGATGTGGATCGGCACGACATCACATGCTACGATCGATGAATCCATTTACAAATAGATTGAGATTCAGTCCGGTCAGGTATATCGTTCTTACTTGTTACATTGAGTCCTTATGATTTAGTTATTCACCATAACTCCTGTTAAAATCGGTACGAAGAAATCAATAGCCAAAATTTCCCTCAAAAAGATAAAAATACGTTTTGATAAAACTCGAGAAATCATTTTATAAAACTCGAGAAATCGTTTTATAAAACTTAAGAAATCATTTTATAAAACTTGAGAAATCGTTTTATAAAACTCGAGAAATAGTTTTATAAAACTCAAGAAATTGTTTTATAAATCCAAAAGAGATTTCCAAACAAAGGAAATCCGCGGAACAACCCGGAAGATCGTTATCTCGGGAGAACGAAACAAACGTCGATTACACGATTGTCCGAGTTAAAAGCAAAACCACGAAAAACCAAAACTGCCGGAAAACGCGAGCTAGTCTCGACACGAGCTGAACCGGTCTGGTCCGATTTGGCGTACGTCCAACCGACCATCCTGAACCTCGATCTCCCACATCCCCGATTCAAGGCTTACGTCCTTCGACACGATCATGTTCTATTGTTTGAGTTTTACAATAAAAAGGCAACAGCTAAACAATGTCTCCTATTTCGTCTCGATCTGTCCTATCGTTCGAGTTTTACAATAAAAACCATAAAACTTCGTTGTCTCGAAAAGAACTCGAGGAAATCGTATAAAACGGAAACGGTTAAAACGAAACACCGAACATTGCCTAAACTATACGGTTTATTCGAGATTTTTCGTAAAAATCATAAAAACGCGTTTTTAATAAAAAACGCCGAGTGAAATCGTAAAAGCGGCAATGATTAACCAAGAAACGAACGTAACTAAACTTTCCGATTAACTCGAGGATCTTATTAAAAACGGCATCGGATCAGGAAGTGATCTCGTATAAAGTCGCAAAACAGATTTATCGCAAAACGGCTCGGAAAGTCCTAAAACGTGATAAAAGCCCATCTTGCGATCTTAACGAAATCTAACCCGAAGATACGATAACGCTTTGACGATTTACCCGCACAAGGAAGATAAATGTCAAGTTTGAAGGATAATGGCAAGTTTGAAGATAAATAGAAGCTTTCCGCAGGAAAAAAGGATAGGTCAAGATAAATGGAAGATTTCCGATAAACTCGAATCTGGGCGAAATGGAAAGACCAAACCGCCAATGAAGGGAGTATATAAGCAACAGGCATAGGGAAGAAGCAGGGACACGTTTTTCAGAGCTTTGACCACCAAATTTAGTGTTTAGGAACTTTTCCGTTTTTATTATCGAGCTGCGTCTCAACTAGGGTTTTTTGGTCTTAGATTTCTAGAGTTAGGGATTTCGCCGACGGCTCACGCAGCTAAGCACACTCTCGTTGTAACCGTTGTTACGCAGATTCGGAATAAGATCCTTCTTCTCGTTCATTCTTATTTTAATTTTAAGTTCATCATTTTATTAATTATCGTTGTGCGGTTCCGCAGATAACCGGGACCTCTGGAAACTTAGGGTTTACTCAAATTTTCCTTATTTACGATTCACTGATAGTAGGTGAATTTCGGTTCCCACAGTTTGGCGCTAGAAGGAGGGGGGGGGGGTCTGATCTATCTCACACAGAAGCCGCAACATGTCCAACGAAGAAACGATGACTGGTGACCAACAAACTCGCAACGAACGCGACAATGTTGATAAAACACCACCACCACAAGATGCTCCCGCGGCCAACGCTACAAACGCTATCGCTGAGACCATCGAAAAGATGCTCTCCAAGTTTAACAAAAAATCGGAAGAGCAGGAAAAGCTCATTGGTTCGCTCGCAAAACGGGTCGAAACCCTAACAGCGAAAACCAGAGCAATTCGCCCTCGCGGAACTACTAAAAGCCGCGGAAGGAGGCTCGATTTCGCGACTCCTATGGATCGTCCCAAAACCGAGCAGGGTAACTTACCAGAGAAGGATTCCGGAAAAGATAACCCCGACACGACGCTAAACGAATCAGAAAAATCTCCTACTCGCGAACAGGAGACCGAGAGAGACGACATCGAAAGGGTCAACCTGGAAACAATTGACCAAGCCGACTCGTCAGATGAGGACGCTGACGTCCATCCTAGGAGGAGGAAAACTCGCAGCCCTCCGCCGGAGTCTTCTCCTGAGAGTTCCCTTACTGG